ACTCTCATCACCACTGAGGTACCTCACAGTTCTGAGTACTTTACATATCAGTGACAGTACTGAGTACTCCGACTTAGTAAACAAAAGAGACAAACGTTACCTGAGTGGAGTTTATTTCCAGAGTCAGTTTGAGTGGATGCAGATTCACCGCTGCCTGCAGCTGCAGTGTGTGTGATGCACTTTGACCAGGTCATATCGTGTGGCTGATAACAAATCCACTCCCCCAAAACTTTGACACTCCAGCTGCAGCGTCGGAAACCAACGCCACCGCCTTGTTGTTCTTCAAACCTCTGTCTTCTCTCATCTTCACTCTGTCTGAACGTTCAAGCCTTTTCTTTCCATAATGATCACCTGGTTCCTGATCAACCACACCATAGGTCAGCAGCCCCCCCTCCTGACCCCTCACCCCAACCCTCACCCCACCCCTGCCTCACCCGCCCCCATGCACTTTCACTTTAAAATCTTGTCTTTGACACCGACATGTCCGTTGTTGATTAGTTCTGATTAGCTCTCTCTCTCTTTCAAGATAAGTTTCAAAATAAAAGCCTTGTCCTGTCAACGTCCAGACGTTACGCAATTCGACCAAGAGTTGCTCAAAAAGCCCAGATGTTTCTGTAGAGACTATGAAAACGTACATTTTGCAGATAAAACTGAAGTAAAATCAAATATATTGCTAGTTTATTTTTATTAAGAACAGTGTAAATACAGTAGGATTTATGTTAATCGACCAAGAGTTGCTCAAAAAGCCCAGGATTTATGTTGTCATTAAAGGTGCAGTACGTAGAGTCCAGCGAACATTTATTGGTCAAATTGAAGCACATGCTGAGGTTAAATATCTGCTGGGCCTAAACGCCATATTGATCCAACATGGCAGGGTCGTTCAGGAGCAACTGAAACAATCAATAACCCAATCAGGTACTACAAATACTTAGCAGTACTAAATCTAAATCCTCACAAACTGAAATGATTCATTTTGTAATTCTGAAAATATGAAATACTGATCTGAACAATAACTTTATACTCAGATCTTTTCCAGTAGCACAGCACAGTACAGTACAGTCCTGTTCCCCTGATCAGAACCCTGGTTACTCAGCCCCAGTCAGCACCATGGACAGCTCCCCTGGTCCCCAAATCACACAAACCAAGCTGTTTCTTTTCTTTTCTTTCTTTTTTTTTTTACATTTTCTCAGTGTCTGCAGAGCCGTCCTCGTGTGTGTGTGTGTGCACTATATTCACACTATATTTAGACTTTATATTTAAAGCCTATATTTACGCCGTGTCATCAAACGGGTTTATTCTCTGTGACAGTTTGATTTGAGATGAAAAAAAAAAAAAGAACGATCACGACCAGAGAATCAGAAATGGTTTATTGACTTGACTGCTGAGTTGTTGTTGTTGTTGTCACGGTTTCTCCAGCAGGGGGCATCTTTCTGCTCCACGTTTCTTCTTCTTCTTATGGTGTTTGTAACTGCAGCTCTGGCTCCCCCCACTGGTACATCTCTGAACTGGGTTTTGACTGCAGACATTTTCAGCCGTGAATGTTTGATTGATTCAGTCCATCATAGGTTCTAGTACGGAGACCATTTTCACCAGTTTGTGGTGAATCCTTGACCAAATTGACTGTGAGGAGACTGGTGTGAGACAAAACAAAAAGGAGGGTCGCACCCCCTGCTGGTGTACACATTCTGTAGTGTACTAAATATGTGGTTCTCTACAGAGGTCTGAGGTCTGAGCTGATCTGTTGTTTTGATTGTTGTTGTGGTTTTTTTTGTACGATGAATGTTTGGGCACGTGATGCATGTGGTGGCGCCAAATCTCTGTCTAGCCCAGGGTACCAAACTGGCTAGGACCGGCCGTGGTTAATGGGGATGCAAATAAATACAGACCGAGGATGTGAGGATGCCCTGCGCTTGAACCAACACACGGTGCGCTGACAAATCACGCCCCCCCCCCCCCCCCAACATACCTCCCTCTCCTCGCTCTCTCTCTCTCTCCCTCCCTCCCTGTCTCCCTCTCTCCCTCCCTCTCCTCTTACTCTCCCTCTCTCTCGGCTGCTGAACAGAAACATGTTTGTTTTGCAGAGGTCGACTCGGGTTTTTTTCCCCTCCTGTCTTTCTTTCCTGTTTTTTACGTGAAGCCCAGCAGGATGAGGCCGACGCTGATGCTGAGGCTGATGATGCTGATGCTGCCGATGCCTCCTCACCTGAGCCTTCGCACGGGATCGTTTTGTATCGTCGCATTGGATCGCACCGCGGTTTTCGCTCCGATCTCGCGCCGGCCCGCCAACAGCCTGGCTCCCCGCTGTTTATCATAAAAAATGGAAGAGCTCTCACGTCAGGACGAGGCGTCAGTCCGGCCGATGTGCGTCTGAATTACTGATTTTTCATTTACGCATCAGTTGACACATCTGTGCGAAGACATTTTTAGCCCGTTCGACTCTCTCTCTCTCTCTCTCACACACACACGCACACGCAGACAGCTGTGTCATCAACCACCGGCGTGGTTTTGTTGTTGTCTGATTTTTTTTACGAGCCCGGGCGGGCGACTGGATTTCGGCACCGTCTGCATCTGCGCCAAGACGAACTCTGCTCTGCTCCAGTCAGCAAGGTAGGAATCACACCTTCACCCTTTTCCCTGCTCTGCTCCATTAAAAACCCCGCTGCTGCCGCCGTGCGAGCAGCTGTCACAGTCAAAACACGCCGCCTGCCTCTCGGGCTCAGAGGGAGGACGTGCGGCGGGGCCTGCTCCCTGCCTCCTCTCACGCGTAAATTCCAAGATGTGGCGGCTGTGACAGTGAGCCTCTGTGCGTCCACCACCTCCAGCAACAGCAGCAGCAGCAGCAGCCTCATCAATCAACCTTGGAGCCTCCATCACCAACACCACCATCACCAGCATCATCATCATCATCATCATCAACAGCAGCAGTAGGAGCTGCTGCAGGCCTGCGTGCGTTTTATAAAACGCACCAAAAAGATATGGAGATACGGTGGCGTGTATGTGCGTGCCCGCGCGCGTGCTTGCACGTGTGTACGCGTAACCCACAGCTCCAGTCGTGACGAGCCTTTATAAATATTTTACCCAAAACAAGGCTCTTCCTCATCCACCAGCACGTCAGCTGACTGACCGTGTGCGTGGCGGTGCGTGGACCCGTGCGACGGCAGTGACAGTCGGTGGAACGTGTGCACGAGGCCGCGCTGATGGAGAAACGGCGGCCGCGCTGCTCTGTGCGTAAACAGGCTCCGGAGCAGCGGGGGTTGAGTACACCGTGGTGCTGTTGTAGTTTCCCCGGTGCTGTTGGTGTGTGGGGTGGGGTGTGGGGGGAGAGAGAGACCGAGCGTCTGGATGAGGGGGAACCGCATCTTTAGCCACATCCTATTTTTTTTTAAGAAAAACAACCGAGTGACTAATCCAGCTCATCAACTGCTGCAGTGTCTGAACCCGTCCAACACAAAACGGACCGAACCGGAAGGAGTGAGACAGTAGTCAGCGGTGGTCCCCCCCCCCCCCAAAACCAACCCGCCCCCGGGGCCCC